GAGCCAGGCGCTTCTCACAAACCCGGAGACCGTCTCACTTACTATTATTCCGCCCTACAAATGAGACTGAGCTCCAGGGAGGTTACATAATCCGTCTGGGTTAACACTCCTGTCCGTAAGGGGGCCGAGATTTCAGCCCAGGGCCTTGACGCTATAAAGAAGGTGGGTCCTAGGGCGAACGAGAACCCTAAACCTGGAAAGGAGTCAGTAGATGAACGGCGAATACGCCCTGAGCACCTTATGGAACACAGGAAGCCCGAAATAAATGGTGGCCATTACTGTGATGACTGTGTCCCTGGTTAGAAGTCACCTGGGCCTCTTGGAACGTCTATTTGTAAAAGCGTCCTCGGCAGACAAGCTGGGAAACCCTGTGTAGATTTCCCGCACTGCTGCACCCTCCTGCTGCAGCCCAGCAAAGCGGGCCCTCCAGAGCTGGTCTAACACCCTCCACTCGTTTTTGAGGCACCTGGGGTGGGGAATGCTAGGGTGTCGCATCAGGGACGTCAGGGATCTGGAGGCTACGGGAGTTCAGCGTGGGGTCTAGAGTCACCAATCCTAAGACAGGGGGCACGGGGGGCAGGCCAGTCTGTGGCCCGCTCCATACCACACTCTGCTGGGTCTCTCTCAGCCGATTTGTTCTGTAAGTACTTATGAACCCCTTCTGGATGCTGGCTCTGTGCTAGGCACCCCGGGGAATGGGATGTTTCGCTGAAGTCGTCCATGGAGTAAATGACCACGGCAGCAAACGCAGAGCATCCGGGAATTAAATCAAGGGGTAGAAAGGGATGGAACAAAGAGCAGGAACAGGCCTCCCGGGGAAAAAAAACAAGGGAAGCTGGGAAGCCCAAGCCTCCAGATTCTCCTCCAGGCTGACCCGGGGGGTCAAGACCGCTTCCCCTCAGCAGCGCCTGGTGCCCACCCGTGGCCACTGCGGGGAATCACACTCCGCTGTGCCCAAGGTCAGGCCCTCCAGGGAAGTACGGTCCTTTCCAAGTCAATCTTCTCAGCTTTCCTGTTAAACCTGCGCACCCAATACCCTCCTCACTGGTTAAGAAAAAGTCTTAGAACGCACACCAGCTGGTTACTCATTACACATTTATTGTACATTTTCACAATCTGGATGCGTCACAGAATTGGGGGAATGGGGGGAGGGAAGGGGGGCAGGGGACACTGGGATAATATGGGGGGGTCTAGAACACAGCACCCCCACCCCCAGCATCTCTCCCTACCCTGTCACACCACAGCTCAGATCTCCCTGCTCCCCCTCCACACAGAAACCTTGAGTGTGGGGGGAAGAAAGAGTTTGGGGGTCCCCTCCAGCAGGTTAAGGGGCTGTACCCTCAGACCCCTAAAATTGTGCCATTTAGAAAGCCATTAGACCCTTCCTCTATCACGTCACCTAAGGAGGAGACAACTCTCGGGGCTCGACTGCCCTGGAGAGGGGCGAGAATCCCCATCTTGCAGCAAGTCCCATACACACATTGGCAGTGACTCGTACCCCCACCCTGAATCCAGGGGGGCAGTCAGAGGAGCTGGGCAGTGGTGGGAGCAACAGCCCCCCCCAAATGAGGGAGGGGAGTTTTCAGTCCAACCCCCAGCAAGGGTGGGGCCAGATTTCAGGCAGGAATTGGGGGGATTCTCTGCCCTGCCCCCACTCCTCCCCAAGGCAGTGATGACCCCCCACACACTGGTAGCCATCTCTCCCAAAAGTCAGATTGTGGCCACCCCCCAAACTCTCCAGGCAGGAGGAGGAGGAGGCGGCAGATCAGGCGGATGGGAGGGAGGGAGACCCCACGGGAATGTCGGCTGAGTGCCCCACATGAAAACTGGGGAGCACGAATGTGGGGAGAGACTCCGAGTGGCAAAACTATTGGTCCATCATGACACACTGAACTCCGAGACACTTCCACACCAGCTGGGGGGTGGGGGGTAGGGAGAGGAGGGGACAAGAGGTTTGGAAAATGGGGGTAGGGGAGGCAAACTGGACTAGAGGGGCTAGGAGGGGGAGATTCTGGGGGCCAGAAGGGCCTGGCTCCCCAAAAGCCCGGGCTCCCACCCCCTGCAAGTAACGTCATGCAAATGAAAGTGATACAAGGACCGTGGGGACTAGCGTCTCAGTAAAAAAGCAACACGGGCTGAAAGAATGAAGGGGGGACGGAAAGAAAGAGACGGAAACCAAAAAGGATGTCAGTATGTAAATGAAGGCTACTTAACATGCTGGAAGCTCCCAGAAGACCTTGGGATTCTTAGGACCAAGTGGGGCCAGTCTCAGGGCCTCCCGGGCGATGCAAAGATGCACCTAGGGAGGCCTGGACAGTTGCTTTTTGTTTTTTGTTGGGGGGGTGGGGGTGCAGGGAAGGCCAGGGTGGGAGGAAGGATCAGCTAAATCCAAGGGAAGGAGGAGAGGAAGAGGGACTATTGCATAGCAGATGCAAATGAAAGGACTAGGGGCTGGTCAGGGAGGGAAGGAAGGGGCGGGAGGAAAAGAGAAGGGGTGGGAACTTCAGGAAGGGGTGTTCAGGACAACCGGAAAAATCTTCTAGTAATAAAACTACAAACAGACCAAATATATATAATATTATATATGTATAAATAACAGCTGGCTATTTACAGGGGGGGCCCACACACAGGGACACACACACACGGATCCAGGGGAGGGGGGGCTGGAAGATATGGCTGAGAGGTGGGGAGCGGCTGGGGATGGGGAGGAGGTGGGGAGAGGCCCTTCTCTGGGCAGGGCGGGCTCCTCGGGGGTTTAAGAGCTGAAGTAAACTGCAGAGAAGGAAAGAAAAGGAAGAAGAGAGAAGGGGAGAAAGAGAGAGAGCGAAAGCAGTGTGTCAGGCCTGGCCCTGCTCCCACCCCCCCACCCCCCACAGCCCAGCCCTCTCGGCCTTAGGTTCTTCATCTGGACAGCAGGGGGCTGGACTGGTGGGTTCCAAGGTCTCTTCAAGTCCATGGTATGGCCTTGGGGCCACAGGCTCCTAATCCTCTGGGCCTCTGGGCCCACAAACGCTCCAACAGCAGGGTGTCTGGCTTCCCGGCCGCGTCTCAAGCCCCTGGGCTTCGCCTGCTCTCCCACTTCCCAATTCCAGGGTCCCCAGACTGGGCTCTTAGGCCCCAAAACTATCCTCAAGGGAGCCGTGGGGCCCCACCGGCTTTCCCGTTTCCAAAAATCTTAACAAAAGTTGCCTAGAACCAGGCCAAGCGCAGGCGGAACACCACCGAGCTTTGGGGCTCTGGATGAAAACAGAGCTGCCGTCGGCAGCTGTACACGCTTTCTGCTGAGCAGTAAAATCTAGGTTAATGACCTTCAAAACCTAGAAGGGGAAACCTCTCCAGAGAAAGGGCCCTAGCCACTGCTGCCCTACTCACCGATGATGATGATGAGGATGATGGCGCAAATCACTCCCAAGATGATCATCATCTGGGGGCGAGAGGGGGGGTCGGCGACACAGACCACGACACCCCCAGCCACCCACCAGTTCTTAGCAGCCCCCTGCTGCGTGCCTCCACCCTCACCTTGAGGTTTTTCCACCAGTATTTGCGCTTGAGCTTGGCTGCGCTTGTTTCAAACTGGGAGGCCCCTGCCTGGAGTGCATCTGCGCGGTCGTCCAGCTCTGACAGCTTCTGGTCCCGCTCCAGGACCTTGTCCACGTTCACCCTCATGATGTCCACCACCTGGGGGGAGGGGCCCACGAGGCAGGGGGTGTGCCAAGGCCGCCTCAGCCAGGGCGCTCCTCAAGCATGCACCCACAAAGGGAACATGCACCCCGGGGGGGCCGGGCTAACACGCCAAGGACACCCAGAGAACACGCCTAGCCACCTGGGGACATGCAAGGAGCACACATCAGGGGCACGCTGAGAGCCAGATGTCACAGCAGCACCGTCTGGGTGCTGAGCCTCCAGCAGCCTGTCCATCCCCCCGGCCACACCTACCGGGGCCGAAACACCCCGGGACAGCAAGGTTGACTAACGCCCCAGGGCCGCTGCAAGTGCCTGGTGACCAGGGAAGGGGCGTCTGTTTGTCCCCAAACTCACAGACTCACCACCTCTAGCCCAAAACGGGCGTCCACACCGGTCTGCCAACCCCCGGGGTCCTTCCCACTGCCTTTGACACCCCTCACACTCACCTCATCCACCTGGGCCTGGGTCTGCTGCAGTCTCCTGTTACTGGTGAGGTTTGGAGGAGGCGCAGGGGGGCCTCCCTCCCCAGCTGGGGCGGCAGGGGGGGCGGTGGCAGCGGTAGCCGACCTAAGGGGTAGGGGCGGATTAAGACCCAGGGCCTCGAGTCACCGGCCCCGCGGCCAGGGCTCCGCCCATCCTCCTGTCCATCCATCCACCGACGGGAACCCTGGATTCCGTCCGGCCCCGCCGCCGGCAAGCTGCGTGACCTTGAGTCGGGCCCCCTCCCCCCTCCGGGCCTCAGTTTCCCCGCCTGTCAAATAAGGGCGACCTCAAAGACAAGGTCCGGGATCGCCCCGAAATGACTGGAGGCAGCGATGACAGCGGCGGGCGGACCCCGGGTCCGCTCCATCCCGTGGCCATCGCCCCCGCGGCCAGCCCGGGAGCGGCGCTCTCCAGCCGCCCGCGCGCAGTCACGGGCGCCGGCCTAGCGTCGGGGCGCGGGCCGAACCCCGGGCGCCCCCCGCACCGGCCCCCAAGGGCGGCGGCCGGCGCAGGCAGGCAGGCCCGGTGCGGGCGCGGGCGGCCGACTCACATGGCGGGGGCGGCGGGAGGACGACTCGGCAGCTGCGGCGGCGGCGGCTGCGGCGGCGGCGGCGGCGGCGGCGGCGGCGGCAGCAGCGGCAGCGGCTCGAGCTGGCTCCGACTGGCGCTGGCTGCCCGGGACGGGAAGATGGCGGCCGCACGTCACCCACATCCGGGCACTGCGGGCGGGGGCGGGGCCGGCGGGCGACGCGTCGAGAGCCGGGCGGTGGGGGCGGGGCCGGCGGGGCCGCAAGTCCCCCCCCCCCCCCCCCCCCCGCTCCCGCACCTGCAGCTGCACCGTGAGCCCCGAACCCGGGTGCTGCGACTCCCTGCGCCCACCGCCATTTCGCCCTGTCTGGCCGCAGCCCTCCCAGCCGACCCCCGCCGCTGCCCCCTGCCCCTGACAGCGCCCCTGAACCCCAAGCCACGTCCTCGCCCACCCGCGAAATCCGTAAACCAGTCAGCACTCCACACACCCAGCCCCCGCTAAGGCCCCGGGTCCCAACGCCAACGACCAGCTTCAGCTTTTGCAGGGGGCTGGGGTGGAAAGTCAGAAGGGGCAACGCGGGTCGCCGGGCTCCCGGGAGGCCTGGGGCACCTGGCCGCTGAGCAGCGGCGTGTGAAGAAAAGCAGAAGAGGCAGGCTCTTCCAACCAAGTCACTGCAGGGTGTGGGGCTCAGACCAGGGGTGCTTGCGGGCCGGCCCAACTGAGGCAGGGCAAGGTTAAGGCCAGGGAAGAGGGCACGGGCTTCCCCGCAGGGCTCCTTCACGTGGTGGCCGCAGACCCGCAGACGGGCCGAAACCCAGCTCCGTCACAGAGTCGGGTCGGCTACCCAGGCGACAGGAGGGCTCAGCCTCTGGTCCCAGGCTGCGACAGCAGGGGGCTTTGGGACTTTTGTTTGTTTTTCTTTGGGGGAAAGACAGTAGGCATGGACTGCCCAGTGCAGTGCCCAGGTACCTTGTACTACTTTACCCGCGGATCAGCCCCACAGGTGTGACCTGACCTGTCCCTAGACCCCAAATATATGACAGCTGTAGGCACTACATATATATTTGTTAAAATGCCTTCATCTGGAATATGAAAAGGGATTATCCACGTCCCCTTCCGACCCTGACTGGTCTTTTTAGGTCCCTCTAAACAGCCGACAGCGGCTGCACACAGTCCCCTCTTCCCGGGCAGGCCTGGACCTTCAGAAAGAAGATGGGACCAGATGAGCTGACCACCTTGTGGGCCGGGTCAAGGCAAGCGTCAAAAGCGAAGAAGGATGTGTCTTAGGGTAGGCATAACGGCCCTGGCGGGGCGGGGGGGCTTGCGGGGGGGTGCTCGCTGAATCCCTGGAAGGGGAGCAGAGGGAGGCTGCTGGCCTAGGTCTGGAGACAAACAGGAGCCAGCTTCTTCCCTCCCCCACCCAGGCCTCCTGGTGTGAGAACCTCCCTAATGCAGCGCCCCACCCCCTCCCCGCGAAGCCTGGGGACTGGCTCCGTTACCAGAGGTGTCATTTCCCAGCTGTCTGGGGGAGGTGAGTGAACAGGGAGCTCGTGCTGGGTGTGGGGACACAGCAGATCTAAGATAAGATGCTCTCGCTCCTTCCCCGGCCCGGAGAAGCCACCCGCCCGGTCCTTGCGCACCGGCACAGACACAGAGGACGTCTGGGTGGCTCGGCCTCTGTGCAAAGGAAGAAAAGAGCAGCTTCTCTGAAGGCTCAGATGGCTCGGTGGGGTGCTAGCTTTTGCTTTTCAGCCCTGAGACGACTCTATATTCTAGCCAGAGAATAAAGGTGCCAAATTCCAGGCTTTTAAGTTCAAAAGCTGCAGTGTCTGGGTCTAAGGCAGGGAAAGTTGGAAGGAAGTACAAACAGGCCCACCCCCACCGGCCCTGATACCCCTCACTGGCCGGGGAGGAGGAGCTGATGGAGGACCAGACAAGATGTTAGACGGTGCTTTAGGAGTGATCCTCATTTTCCCCAACGGCCAAATCCGGAGGACATGGAAGGGACGGAACCCAGAATAAATCTGGGGAGCCAAGGCCATGGCGTGTGGCTTGGAAAGTTGGCACATTGCTGTTGGGTCCTGGGGGCAGCGGCACAAGAGTGGAAATGAGGGCCTGTAAGATCCACGGAGGTGGGGACCCAGGAGGATTTATCTTAGAGGCGCCTCACTGCGCAGCCCACCCTGGCAAGCCACCTATGCTGTGGTGCTAAGGGGCTCCCCCCAGTTTAGGTCATTGGTGGCGTGGGATGACGGGGTTCACCTGGAAATGGATAAGGGAGTGTTTTCTGCAAGCAGTAGAAGGGAGACCCAAAATAGAAGTTGAACTAAAGAAAAATAATCTATTTACAGACTGAGATGATGGACGTTGCTGCATTCACCTGCTTCTTCGGGGATTGGCAGCCAAACCTCTGGGCCTTACTTCCAAGGCTCCTTCAAAAGACGTGGGGGGGGGGGGCAAGTTCATTTCTGACGAGCACCTCTGGTGATTCTGATGTAGGCGGCACAGAGAAAAACTTCAATAAAGGCTTTCTTTTATGGTTGTCTCTCCTCTGCGAACAACAACTGATTTACAAGTTGAGATGGAATGGGGCGGGCTGGTCATCCCCACACTGACTCATGAACTTGTTCCCTCCGTGAGTCAAACCTGACCAAGCAGTAATTAATTTCAGAAACCTTGTCCCTCGATGATTGTAAAGAAAAGGCCTTCTAATTAGGAGCAGGAGGAGCGGATGCTTCCTGGAGTACAGACCCAAGGGCTAGCCCCACCTCTGCAATCAAGGCTCAGAGGCTGCCTGCCCAAGCCCTGGGCTCCTGGAGGGAAAGGAAACCACCAGGAGCCTACTGTGTGCTAGGTGCTACCCATGGATTGCTACATGCACTGGGTTTTTGGTGGGTTTTTTTTATATATATATTTATTTTTGAGAGACAGAGAGCCCACGCTCAAGTTGGGAAGGGACAGAGAGGGTGAGAAACACAGAATCTGAAGCAGGCTCCAGTCTCTGTCAGCACAGAGCCCGATGCGAGGCTCGAACTCACAAACTAAGATCATGACCTGAGCTGAAGTCGGACGCTTAACCGACTGAGCCACCCTGGTGCCCCCAGTTTTTTAATTACACAAATCATGTGACTGTATTCTCCCTGCAAAGTATTAAAATGTTAGACATAATGTTCCCTTGACCACACCCCAACCCCTCTTTTTGTTTCATGTCCTCAAAGGCTTTGTGTACTTTCCTTTTAGGAGGGAAAATTTTTTGTTGCAGGGGTGCCTGCGTGGCTCAGTCAGTTAAGAGTCCAGCTCTTGATTTCGGCTCAGGTCGTGATCTCACAGTTCGTGAGTTCGAGCCATGCCGGGCTGTGCGCTCACATGTTGGAACATACCTGGGAATCGCTCTGCTCTCTCTCTCTGAAAATAAGTAAACATTTGTTAAAAGTTTATTGTTATACTTATTTTTTTTTCATTTCCAAAAATGCAGTCTCTTCTCTCATTTCTCTGACTATAATAATTATATTTCTGTTACTCAGTATTATATCACAAACTAGGTAACAAGGTAACACAATCAAAATTTACAAATCACAAGTATAACATTTAAATATGTTTTGAGAGAGAGAGACACAGAGCACTTACAGGGGAGGGGCAGAGAGAGAGAAGGAGACATAGAATCTGAAGCAGGCTCCAGGCTCTGAGCTATCAGCACAGAACCTGATACGGGGCTCAAACCCATGAACGAAGAGATCATGACCTGAACTGAAGTCGGACACTTAACCGACTGAGCCACCCGGGCGTCCCTACAAATCACAAGTATAAAAGAACACACAGCAAACCCTCACTGAGCTGCCCCCCACCCCCCACAACACACTGCTATGTGAAGTCCTGTAAATCCTCCAGAATGGTTGGTGCAGGGACAAACAGACACAGATGCCTCTTTCTTTTGAAAAGCACAAACGCTCACAGACTACATGCATTAAGTTGCCCCTCCCTTTTTTTTTTTTTTTAAGCTTTCCAATTATAGGCTATTTGTTTTTCTTGTGCAACCCTCTGGTTATCTCTGTCTCTTCCAGTTTTGTTTTGTTTTTTTTTTTTAATAAATGGGAAGATTGTCTTTCTCATTTCTCAGGCCTATCGCAACTGTCTGCTGGTTCTTGACTCTGATAGGGAGGCTGATTGGAAATTGTGGGGGGGGGGGCGGCATTCAGTGGTCACTGGCTCTCCTGCAGGACCGTGGAAAGCTTTTCAGCCCCCCCCGCCCCGCGTTGATAGATGACAGGCTTTCTCTGGGGCTGCTCAGTGTTTTTGAGAGAGGTATATCCTCAGTGCCGCATCCCTGCCCTCACTGAGCGTGGAGGGAGCAGAAGCTGGAGCGGGCCGGGGGCTCCCCTTTGCCATCTCAAGCCTCCTTTCTGCTGCACCTGTTGTCCCCAAGTCCAACGCCTCCCTGAAGATCAGGATGTGGAGGGGTGATGTGTGCGACTCAGGTCTTCTGACCAGTGAGGGCACACCAAGAGTCCCCACATTCTGAATACAGGCTCACGGCCACCTCCCCCGTGGTCAGCCAGGCCTTGACCATGGGATCTGGTGACCTTCGGGATCTTTGGACACCGGGTGCTGACTCCCTCTGCCCTTGCCCTTGACGTGACCGACACCCTTCAGCCACCGCGCAGCCTTGTTGAAGTCTCGTGGCCACCACTGTCTCTCTGGTCTCTTGGTCCTTCTAGATTTATCCATCTTTGACTCCTCTCCGGTTAGTTAGTGCAGATGTGAAAGGGACAGAAGACAAATGTTCATGATCCTTCAAGGATCAGCTTTTTACGTTGTTTCCAATTTTTTTTTTTTTTTTTTTTTGCTATCATAACAGTGTTCTGAGAGACACTGGTCTACACACTTCCCGTGATCACCTGCCTCTCCCGACGGCCCTGTGAGGTTGGTATTGTCTTGATTTTACAGGTGGGGAAAACTAGGCTCCGAGAAGCACCTCGATGGACTCTTTTTAAATGAACCAATCATCTTTTTTGTTTTTTCACGTACAGAACGATACCTCTTTTAAAAAGGGTTTTGGGGTTTTTTTTTGTATAAAACAATACATGGACATAAAGCGGTCCCTTTTTAATCTACTCTCCCTGCACGAGCCCTGAGCTCAGTCCCAGAAACAAGGTAGGCGGATGAATAATGAAAGAATGATGGCGAACTGCAGTTTCAGCGAGGGGTGTTGTAGAAGACAACCCAGCACAGCGGGCAAACGGACTGACGGTGAATGCCTAAGCTCCCGTTTGGGGAGAGTGGGTCTGGCCGGGGTCTGTGTGCCCACCGCTCCTGTGAGGGCAGCCCCGCTTGGGCTGGGGAAGCCCTGATCATTTGCGACCAGTGACCATTTGTGACAGCCGGCTCCCGCCACCGCAGCAAGGCAGGCCCCGGCCTTGTGCCCCTGGGAAACAGAGTAGTTTGGGCTCGGATGGTGGGGAAGCCCGTGCCAGTGCCCGGTGTGGGGAAGGCAAGACACCGGGCCTGGGCGCGTGGGAGGCCTGGTGGCAAATCCGGACTCTGCATCCCTCAATTCCTTAGAGACTCACTGGGGTTAACAGGTTCTTGTGTTGGGGCGCCTGGGTGGCTTAGTCGGTTAAGCGTCCGACTTTCGCTTAGGTCATGATCTCGCGGTTCGTGGGTTCGAGCCCCGCGTCGGGCTCTGTGCTG